ATATCAGTCTTGTTATTTACATGTGAATATCACCATGACAGCTTCGATGCACGTACCGAGCCTATGATGCTATGGATGAAATATCTGCTGCGTTCTCAATTGGATTTAATCCTGATGGGACCAAGTAAGTAAGAAGTTCATCTAAGTTTCATCCATCTTCCCACATGGTAGAGAATATAACTAACAGCCATCTGTATTCATTTGGCTTTGTTATGTTATTAGGATCTTTGCTGGTTACAATAGCTCCATTAGAGTGTTTGATCTTCATCGTCTCGGTAGAGATTTTGGATAGTATTCAACTCTATAGAGAAATAAAAAGGGCCAAACAGATTTTTATATAGTTTACCAGTAAGAGCGATTCGTGATATGTTTGTTTCAGATTATGCATAAACAAGAACAACCTTTTAACTGGTTTATAATTTTGCAGGTATATAGGGGAAGTAAAGTATTGTCTATTTGAAGAATATTAAAGTTGAGTACTTCTCTCTATCCAGAGGATTGGATCAAAACATTTGTATATTATGTCTGCAGTTTTACCTTAAGACAGGAATTTGCAAATTTGGAGTGACTTGCAGGTTTCATCATCCTAAGAACAAAGCTGGGAACAATGATCCGATTCTTGGTTCTTGAAACATAGATTTTATTCATGCGTTCTGCGTGCATCTAGTGATTGTGACTTCATTGTGTCCATGTTCGTGTACTAGCCAACCAAAAATTTTAACACATGTTTGAAAACAAATTCTTGTTCTATATTTGTGTTTTTATGCAATCTATATTATTTATTAATAATATTTTGATTTTTTGTTTTTTTATAATTTTAAAAGAATTTATCTAATTTTTTTAAGAATTTCATAAAATCTCTCCATAAGAAAAAGTTAATAGAATTCTTAACTTAAATTAAAACTATGTTTAAATTAAAATATACTTGTTGGAGTTTTTCAATATAGATGCTTTAATATGCCAATTGCGGTAAAGAAAAATTTGTGATAAATAGTAAAACACATGAAACACATTTAAAATAGTATCTAAATGTGTCCAAAACACATCAAGAATTTTACATAGTGGCTTACCAAGACTTGTTAGGATTCTCATTAATCTTCTCCCAATGATAATCAACTTAAAACTTTTTGATGTATCGATTTTTCTACTCACAACATGAAGTAACATGATGATTACAATCCAACTACAAAATTGTAAAGTGATAAATACCCAATTGGTGAAAGAATTTGGACAACAATGAGAGGTAATTGGATTGTATCCAATGGCAAAAGAACTTGTCTTTTTGCGACCCGCTTGGCTACTCTTCTCCTAATTTCTCTTCTCAAAACCGCTTTGAGTTCTTCTTCATCTTGTGACATCTTAGTGAGGTGACTGGTGGCGTGGTAGGCCTTTTCTTCCATATTGAGTTATCCTCCGACGTTCTTCGGCTCCTCTTCAGGTCGGTGACAGTTTTCGCTATGGCAACGACGGATTTCTAGCTCTTGGCGGCAGCAGCAGCGGTGATGCGTGGTTTTTAGTTCCAAATTTCCAGCTTATGAGCTTTTTCTGCTTTGGTTCAGTTTTCCAATTAGATCCACTAGAAGTTTTTTTGGCTGGACTTTGTACTTTTTTTCTTTACTCCTTCAGAGTTTTTTAATTTAATTTTTGAGAAAATTTGGAGATATACCTCAAAACTAGATTTTAATTTAAAAACTACATCTCCATTTAAAATTTTTAAAAAACTAAATTTAATTATATATAAAATGATGAAATTATCCTTATTTTGTGTTTATAATAATTGTAAATTTGAAAAATAAAAACAATATTTTGAAGCTGAATGATATCTATTTTTGATTTTGTTTTATATTTATCTAAAAAATATTCTATTAAAAATAAAATTTCTGATCATTTTGATAGAACAAAAAAAACCTACAAATATAGCTTCTCCATTTTCATCGACCATTTCACATTCTCTCCTCTTCACTGCCATCTTTCTACTTTCTCAGCCATTGCAGTGTTTCAAGGTAAAATTTCGATTCATCTCTTTAATCCATACAATTCATCTTTTTTTAATTTTGTTTTGTTCATAATTTAAACAATTTCTGGATCTGATTGAAACTTTTTATCAATTTGATTGCTTCCTTGTACTGTAATTTTTGTATGATGCATCATAGGTTCAGGTTGTGTACAAAAGTCAAAGTGTAACTGCAGGTAAATTCATTTTGTTTATCAATTTAATCAGCCATCAATGATACTATCGTTTGAACCTTCCTCAATGCCATTGTTCTGAATTTTTTTTATATGAATAAAAATGTTGTGTATAGCCGGAGTTTTTGGAGAATGAAAGGTGAATAAGAATTCATGGAAGTTCATGGTGAATACAAAAAAAGTAGGTAAATTATTCATGATTAAATATGGTCTGGAGTTTGATGATATGATTCGTTCGCATGGTTCATGAAGATTTTGGTATAGATAGGTTGGTTCATAAAGTAGAAACTTAGCTATGTGTTGCCTGAAACAATGCTGAGAGACATGCCCAAGGATACTCCTCATGTCTTTGTGAATAGTGATAGGCAATTGGATACTTTTTGCGAAATGTGCAAATCGTTGTTGGTTCGTCTTTGCATCTCTGTTAAAAATGAAAATCTACAGTACCAAGATGAAGCTTTAAATTCTCATGAGATTCCTTTGATTAGTGGAAAAGGCAAGGAGAATAAGACTGAGAATGCATCGGGAATATTGGTAGAAAGGATAGTGATGATGAAACAGAAGCTGAAGTTTCTAACTTACATGATAGAAAGGTCATTAAAAAGGGCCAATGGTTCAAGAACAAAGCAGAGCTGTCTTGGAGTATACAGACGCTTTCAATTGAACGGAAATTCACTATTAGTGTTAGCAAGTCAGACACTAAGTTGTTAGTTCTCAAGTGTGTAGACAAAATCTGCAAATGGATTATTCCAGCTTCAAAGAATAATCCATCATGTGAGTATTTCTGGGTCACAAAGTACATCGACAAGCATACATATCTTTCCAAAAGCATTGGTGGACCAAAAGCTTCCTCCAAAGTAATTGGTAAGCTTCTTTTAGAAAATTTTGGAAATGCTGGTCTAAATATGAAGCCAGACCTGATCCGTACAACTATGAAGAAACGATATGGTCTTGATTCAAAATATTGGAAGATATGGAAAGCTAGAGAAGATGCTCGTGAGGAGCTAATGGGTTCTCCAAAAAGTAGTTATGCTCAACTCTCAGTGTACATCCACAACATTAAAAAGGCTAATCCTGGCACAATAGCATGTCTCGAGGTTAATGATCATCAAAGATTTAAGTACTTGTTGATTTTGTTTGCTGCTTCTGCCAAAGGTTATGAATTCATGAGAAAAGTTGTTGTAGTTGATGGGACCTTCTTTAAAGGGAAATACAAGGGCGTTTTGCTAGTTGCAACGACTAAGGATGGTGATTCTCATGTTTATCCTCTTGCATTTGTAATAATAGATTCAGAGAATGTGCATCTTGGTAGTGGGTTTTCACCAAGCTGAAGTCTGTTGTAGCAGATGATCATAGATTAGTATAGGTGATATCTGATAGAAATTTATTCATTGCTAAAGGCATTAAAAAGGTGTACCCGTTAGCTCATCATGGAATTTGCTCTTATCATCTACTAAATAATGTCATTAGTAAGTCTGGAGGAAAAATGATTGCTTGATTAGTCAAGAAAGCCTCAAAAGCTTATACAGAAGCAGAATTCAATGTGATTTTTACTGAATTCCATCGTCAGAGTCACAAGCTGAGCATCTATTTGGAGGAAGCAAATGTGCAAATGTGTTCATGTGCTTATTTTCCAAGAGACAAGTATGAAAGAATTACAAGCAGCTCAGCAGAATCAATGAATTATGTGTTCAAAAAATCCCGTGAGTAACTCATTCTGCCATTGATTGAAACAATAAGAAATAAACTTACCCGATGGTTTTTTGATCGTAGAGAAAGTGCTCAGTGACTTACTTCCTCTCTTACACCTAAAGTTTAAAAGAAGGCCAATAAAAGATGTGATTTGTCGTCTATTAATCAGAATGAGTTTCAGGTAAGTGATGGGTCACATAATTATTTGGTTGATACAGAACGGATGACTTGCATATGTCATATGTTTAATATTGATAAGATCCTCTGTGAGCATGCTGCTAAGGCTGCATCGAGTCAAGGCATAGACCCTGGATCATTAGTACATCCTTACTACTCAAAGTCACACTTGTGTGCTGCATATTCAAGGAATATTAGACCTGTTGATGAGCTTTTGGAATTGAGTGAAATACCATCTGATATTGTTCGTCAGATATGTCTGCCTCCAGATGTTCGAAGGAAGCCAGGTAGGCCCATAAAAAGAAGATATCAAGGTTTTGGAGAAGATATGAGGAAAAAACGAAAACAAGTTTGCTCAAGATGTCATAGTTTTGGACATAATCATGCAATATGTGACTTTGGAATATGATGTTTTCTTTTGTTTTAAATTTCTGGTGGACACAGTTTGATATTTTTTCTTTGTTTTAAACTTCTGGCTTTTCTCTGGTTCTGATGACAATAGTTTGCAGATTTGCTGGGATGAGTTTCAAATGTAGATCATCGAAACAAAATTAAGAAAAATCTTTAGAAGAAGAACAAGGCAAATCCAACATTAGTACGTCCCTAATCTCATAACCAAAACCAAAACCAAAATTATAGTTAATGCATCTAAATTTTCTTGAAGGTAATGCATCTATAGATCCTTTGGAATATGTTTCGCTTCCCCAAAAAATATCCGTTGCAAACTTTTTCCTGATATTTTCAATGTTTTCATCTCATAATCGTCCACCACTCATATCTACGTCTAATGCAAGACACTCGATATACTTCATAGCATATACCCAACAATCACCAGTTTGTTTGTTCTGTGGAATTCTGATACACCTTCTTGCTTTGTATTCATCAACACTTAACGCATATTGGTCAGCTGGGGAAGCCAATGATTTGATCAAATACAGATGCACATATGACTTCACAAACTCTGTTATCTCGTCATCGTTTGAGAATGAAATGATGTTGTCATACACTTCAATGTGTCGGTGAAGAGCCGATACAGCCAAAGCAATCCAATGAACATTTTTAATGTTCAACACAATATACACATCATCCACATGAACTCCAAACCTCCTATTTGTCCTTTCACACATTTTTAAAATACCATTAAATTAATCAATGTACTCAGAGCTCCAATCAAAGTTTCTTGGGTTCTCTGAAAACTATTGGTAGCTCTTCGATATAAGTTTTGTAAATGGCACGTCTAAAAATGCCAATCTTTGACTACGGAAGGGACATGATGAGAGTTTTGCTATTTTTTTTCTCATGAGAGACATGCCAACGTTAATATGCTGCATCAATCATAAATAATTTAGTATATGTATATTAAACATTAAACATTTTATCTGCATTAATAGTGCCTAAATACACCGTTATATCTCTGTAATTTGTCAATTTTTGCATGTAGTTAAATGGAAATTAACAAGAAAGCAATAATTAAAAAAAAATGGTTAAAATACAAACCTGTCTATCTTCATCCATGACTGTAGCTATTCAGCATTACTCTCATTTTCTTTTGCAAACGGATCATATATATTCGGTTTCGCAACCTTTTGATTTCTTCCCATTCTTCGAGTCATGACTACTTTTTTATCTTCCTTTCGTCACTCTCTTTTGTTGGAGTTACGTTCAATATTTTAACAAGAGAATCCGTATCTGTAGAATTCACAGTATCGAAAATGGTGTTCAAATCTTTTAGTGTTGTCTGGAAAAAAATCACTCATCATCAATTCCAATAAGAAACATGTAACGACACATAGAAGAATAAATAAATTACCAAATCATAAAGATGAACACTATTTACTTTCTTCGTGGTGTTAAAACTCTTTGTTTTTTTCATATTGCTGGCTTTTTGTAAAATCTAGATGTTTACATCAAGTACTTTTAGCCTAGCTTTCACATCGAAAAGCTCAGAACTAAGCTTTGTGAATCCCTTCTTAATCTCTTCTTCCAATTCTGTCATCCGAGCCTGGAAATATTCTTTGGATAACACTTCAACGCATGGAACAATATTTTTCTTCTTCAATTTCATATTGTCATGTGTTTAATTTTCTTGTGCCATACGTTTTCCACTAACTTTTTTGTGAAAGGTGTATTTCATATCTATCAAAAACATATGAATAATAAAAATTAAACTTGTAATCTAAGAAAATTACTAAGAAAACGAATATATTAATCATCCATACAATACAATCTTCTAAAACCAGTTAACTTTCGTATATCAATCAATTGAAACAAAATATTAACTATTAAGTATTCTACATTTTTGATTTACAATATCTACTCCAATATCAGAAATTCAAACATAGCATTGATTAAACATTTGACTATATAAAAAAAAATTGAAAAAAAGAAAACTAAAAATTAGAGATAAAATACCAGAAATTTAAAAAAACTCTGTTTTTGGATTAAAGAATGGGATTATTGCAAAAATGACCCAAAGTTTGAGATGAAATGCAAATCTAACCCATAAAATTCATCCTCTCAACATTAGTCATTTTGTGTCCAAACAATCATTCTTAGTTCTAATTATTTATGATACTGCCATTACTTCAAATAAATTTCTTTTATTTTTAAATATCCAATTGAGCAAATCTTTCTCACTTATTTACGAAAATGGCATCATCATCAATTCACCCAACCACCATTTTCAACAAATTTCGAGGTTTAATGGCACCAAAAATTCATTTTTGAGCTTGCATAGCTCATTATCTTTCTCTTAAGCTTCTATACTTCCATTTTCTCTCTATTTTCTTCCCAAAAATTCTATAATTTGACTATTAAAAAGTTGAAGTTCATATATATTTCTATATTCCGGCGAGTTTGTCGTTTTTTGCGGTTGTGTCTCTTTCATGGTGGCTAGAATCGAAGCTCTCGACCAGAAAAGAAGCTAAAGATGAGTGGTAAGTAAAATTTTCAGTCAATTTTAGTGTTTTTCAGTTATGGGCTGCAAAAGTAGACTTCTCTTCACCACTGTGAAGTCTACTAGTCAATGTCCAGGTTAGTTTTGCAATTAACCGCATGAAAAAGTAGACTTCTTTTGGTCTGAAAGAAGTCTACTCCATTGCCTTTGATAACAAAAAATGGAGTACACTTCTCGAGTAGACTTCTTTAGAGGCAGGTCATTTTTGCAATTGACCAAGCTTTGACTTTGTAGAGTACACTTCTCCAAGAAAAGTAGACTTCTCACATTTCATTTTTACAATTGATCAACAAGTCAAAGATTTTTTAATTGCAAAAATGACCGGTGAGAAGAAGTCTACTTTTCTTGGAGAAGTCTACTAATCTTTAGGCAATTGCAAAACTATTATGCGAGAAGTCTACTTTTCTTCGAGAAGTCTACTTTTCTTGTTTTTTTAAAAGATTCATTTTATACAACATATAACGAATTTTTAAGATTTTTCGTGATCCTAAGCTTATGTTAGTAAGTGTTCGAAAACGTTGAAGATTGGGATGAAAACGTTAACAATGAGGTTGAAGCTGATTGTTCGAATGAAGTTGCAGTTGATCTGAATATGAAAGAAATGTATGATGACTCAGATGTGGATTACAGTGAGTACGGGAAAGTTAAAGATGAGGGTGTAAGAGAGCGTTGTGGTGGTTTCGATCGACTGGAAACTAGTTGGTCCTCTAAAATCTTTGTTAATTAGAGTTTTCCTAGCAAGGAGAAGCTTGTATCTGAGCTGTGATTGATGGCAGTTATGAAGAGATTTACTTTTAAAGTATACAAGTCTACGACGGTTTTGTTTGTAACAAAATGTTATGTCAAAGGATGTGTTTTGATGCTTAGAGCGGGTGTGAAGAACGAAGCAAACACATTCTGGGTGACAAAGTATCTGAAGGATCATACTTGCTCTGTGTTAGACCGATCAGCTCATCGTAGATGTTTTACACTGAAGTACATTGGGGCTCTGTTTGTAGAAAGCATAATCGATGGAATTGTGCCAAAGCATTTCAGAGATTCTATGAAGGTGATGTTTGGTCTAAACCTCATTAACACCACATCTTACAGAGCTTTGATATATGTCCAACAATTGGTGAGAGGAACAGCAAAGATGGATATGAGAAGCTGCCTTCTTATTTGCATCAAATTGAGAGAGATAATCCAGGAAGTGTCCCGGATCTTGTATGCGATGAGATGGATCGATTTAAGTACTTGTTTATTTCATTTGGAGTTTCCATAGCTGGTTTTCAGTACTTGAGGCGAGCGATTGTTGTGGATGGGACTCATCTAACTGGGAAGTATGGAGTGTTTTGCTAGTGGCAGCCGGACAGGACGGTAACGTTCAGATATTTTATTTGGCTTTTGCAGTTGTGGATTTAGATTGTAATGCTTCATGGAATTGGTTTTTCACCAAATTTAGTAGATGTTTCTCAGATGGGTATCCGTCTTTCCTAGTTTCTGACTGGCACGACTCCATCGCTGATGCATGTAAGAATGTCATACCATGGGCAACACAGGGTATATGTTACTATCATCTATAGCAAAATATAGTGACAAAGTTTCACGGGAAGCAACTCATGTACTTGGTGAAAGGTGCTGCATATGCACAAACGACTTACGATTATAATCAATACATGGACGTAATCGGAGATGTAAACCCCAGACTTGCTCAATATTTGGAGTCTGCGGATCCGAGGTTATGGTCACGAGTTCATTTCCCAGGAGACAGGTACAACATAAACACTAGCAACATCGCAAAATCGCAAAATCGATCAATGCGGCTGTTAAAAAAGCCAAAGGGTTTCCCATCACATTTTTGTTGGAGCTTATAAGAGCAAAGCTCGGGAGATGGTATTATAAAAGGCGTGAAGATGCTCTAAGTCTCACAACAAGCCATACTCGTGGAGTAGAGTATCTATTGGCAATTCTGGAACATGAGGCGAGAGATTTGATGGTAGAACCCATAGATGGCTGACGTTTCTTTGTTAAGGGTGGAGCACGAGATTGTATTGTTGATTTGGAACAAAGGAAGTGTTCTTGTGGTGTCTATGATGTTGAAAAAATCCCTTGCTCACATGTTATTGCAGCCGCAGAAGAGGCCAACGTGAAACTGTCAACACTTATGTGTCCATCTTACTCACGGGAATCATTATATGCGGCTACTCCCATCCCATTAACCCTCCTATTACTGATGAAAACGATGTCAAGAAGGAACCATGTGGTGTTCCAGTCATGAAGATTCCTCCTGGAAGAAAGAAAAAATCTAGATGGCAAACTTGGCTAGAAATGTCAAGGAAGAAAGGCACAAGACCAAGAAAGATGCATAAGCAATACAATTGCTCCAAGTGCAAGCAACATGGTCATACTCGCCCCTATTGTGTAATTTAATCTTTACATTGTACTTATTGTGTATTGTTTTATCTCCTACCAAGTCGTTATATAGTCTTATTTTATTACGTATATATTCGATGATGGTGCTGATTGAATCTGAACAAGTGGAGAACTCTACTATGTACTAGAAATCTACTGGAGACAAGAGAATTCTACTCGGTTGACAAGTTATGTAATATAAATTTGGGAAATATCCCTCTGAATCACCTTTAAGTTATGTAAAATTAATGTTTTTAAGAAGTCTACTCGAGACAGGAGAAGTCTACTCGAGACAAGAGAAGCCTACTAGGTTGACAAGTTATGTAATATAAATGGGGGAAATGTCCCTCTGAATTACCTTTAAGTTATGTAAAATTATTGTCTTTAAGAAGTCTACTTGAGACAGGAGAAGTCTACTCGAGAAGTCTACTCGAGACATGAGAAGTCTACTCGGTTTATAAGTTATGTCATATAAATGGGGGATATATCCCTATGAATCACCTTTAAGTTATGTAAAATTATTGTCTTTAAAAAGTCTACTCGAGACAGGAGAAGTCTACTCAAGAAGTCTACTAGAGGCAGGAGAAGTCTACTCGGATGACAAGAGAAGTCTACTCGAGACAAGAGAAGTCTACTCGAGACAAGAGAAGTGTACTCGATTGACAAGAGAAGTCTACTCGATACAAGAGAAGTCTACTCGGTTGACAAGAGAAGTCTACTCGATATAAGAGAAGTCTACTCGGTTGACAAGAGAAGTCTACTCGGTTGACAAGAGAAGTCTACTCGATACAAGAGAAGTCTACTCGGTTAACAAGAGAAGTCTACTCGGTTAACAAGAGAAGTCTACTGAAGAGTTCAACACAATCAATGTTATATATTAACTTACATATTCTGTTCTATGACGGGTTACACCAAAAACTTTCTAACCCCATCAACAGTTACAAAAGATTACCAGTGGGGTACTAATACCTCCTCCACCATAATTAGTTCGTTACAAAAAAAAATAAACTTCTCCAACATAACTCAGGTGGCGCTGTATAACCCCATATCCGCCCAGTCCTGGTTTGAAGGTCCGTAGCACTGGGTCTCGTGGTATATATCCACCGAAAGTTTCTGTCTGATAAATTTTATGTTGACGGCACCCAATGACGAAAGAAATGGCAGTCCAAGAGCAAGATATTCAAAAAACTTAAGGA